GAATTCATTCTATTTCTGCATGAAATGATGGAATGATTTTAAAATGCTGTATATTCCTCCCTTGGGACATTCAGTACCTAGAAATAGGCTCTGAAATAGAGTAGGTTTGTTGCAACTATTATTTATCACTCTCCTTTGGCTGACATCCAAATAAAAAAATTCCTAATAGTGAAGCAAAGTGTGGATGTGGAAGGATGGTTTTATAGCAAGGGTTCTGACTGTCAGAGTGGATGCATAGAACAACTAATATGCTTTAATTAGACTTGTGAAAATGTTGTAGTTTTTTTACCAGCTGAAGTATATAAAACTCGGTGTCCGGACAACAAAGCCTTAGTGATGGTGTTAGAAGGTCTAGCGAGGTGTATGTATTGCCTGTCAGCTCTGCTGCAGCATTGCTGTAACTCAGCCCACTCGTGAAGTGCCGCTCACCCACCCCACCAGGACACCCCAGTCATTCGTAGCTCTCTGGCTTGTAACGATCACAGGTATCCCGATCTTCTTCCACAGTGCTCAGACAGACTGTATAGGAGCCAATGTTACTCTTTAGCCTGACAATACAAAAATAGCGATTAGAAAGTTGTTTACAATAGTAAGAAGTAGGATTCATTTGGGCAATCTGAGACCCTGCAGTGTGCACAAAGAGGCTGTTGAAAAGAGCTCATCACTGTCTCAGCTTCAGCTCTCATTCGTGCTTCTTTCAGAGAAAGGTGGAGATGTTACTAGGAGAATATCTTAAAAACTTCCAGTTCAGCTTTCTATTTATGTAAAAAACAAAGTCCCCAACCTGCTGTCTTCATCCCCAGCTGGGTCTCTAAACAAAGTGCTTTTTACACCTGCTATGTTCAGTAACACTCTAACCTCTGGCTTTCAGCTTCATCTGTAGCACTGTGGGATAACAACTGATGACCCTTTTCAGCCAGGTGGCAGACACAGCAATAGTCTTGGAGTTTTAGTGTTCGGAGAAAAAATGTGTCTCTGATGCTTGTGTTTTCAAGTTTCTCTTTATCATTAAAGAAACCCCCAAACTAAAAGCTCTCCATGTCTCCACTGTCTTTTAGATTGTTACGGAGAGCACAGTGGGGGCATTGGAATAGTGCAAATTAACTGCCTTCCATTTAATTACTTTTAAATCTCTTTTCGTGAGAATAATTTTGGTGTGTGGCACAGGTAGTAGTAACAGCTTACCTATCCTAGAGGTGATGAATACCAACTCTGTTCTGCAGAGGTAAGTGTTACATTGACTTGCATATTATTAAGATGACTATTTGGTGATAATGAAAACCTTATCTAAAGCATGAACAAATCTCTCAGCACATTCCCAGCCATTTTCTGAAGTCTTTTAATACCAGCAGACTAGATTCCTAGCTTGATGTGCTTCCATGCTGGTAGGTATTTACTTTTATTCAACGTTTACTTAGTGCTCCTCTGTTTTGTTTTCCCAGGGAAAGCATATATTTGAACATCCTTACAAATCCTCTTTCACAGTCCTGCCTACAGTCTGGTCTCCAAGAATTTGAGGAAGAATCCAGGTTGCTTTTTCCAGCTAAAGGCTGGGGATTTAAAGTCTCTGGAATGAGATTTGTGCTTGTTTTACATAAAATCAGTTGTACAGTTGGTTTCCTTCTTACGTACTTTGAGTAACATGGACAGTAATTCCATGTCTAGCTTCTAGAATTGCTCTTTTGAGTGTGGCATTGTGTATATTTATGGTAAGCACGCTGTGAAGCTTTCTGTTACCCTTTGCAGTGTGATGTGAGAGAGATACTATTGCTTTTAAAATAATTTTTCACTTAATTGACTCTTGGAAAAGTATTGAAAAACAGGGAAAGCAGCAGAGGCCTCTCTGGAGGTGAAGAGACAAGGCAAGGGAAGCAAAGACTGTACAAGACTCCAGAGATGAATGGCAGGTGTCATTGGTCACTGTTCTGTGTAAAATAGTTCGGGTAGTTCCTCCTCTCAATTCCCACCCATTTGAACAGTCAACTCTGTTTTCATTTGTAACAGGATTTTGCCTGTCATCAGCACCTCAAAAGCCCTGCAGAGTTCCCGTTTCAAGTTGTATCTTTGGCTTTGTCTGTAGAGGTTCTTGATATTAAACTGCCCCAGCAACCACAGCACTGAGATAACATGTTTAATTCCAAAATCTTTGGGCCGTTCCAGTTGTTGCATGGCAGCCTAAGCTCCTGAGTAACAGAGTTAACAAGCACCTCAGCTGGGGTTTTGGCTTCTTTTTCTGTGCAGTGTCTTGGTCAAACACTCCATCCACTGAAGAATTTTTTTTTTTTTTTCTGATATAAAACAATGCTTGTCTAATGTGTAGAAAAGTTCAGTGAAAAGCAAAACTCTCTACTTTATCCAAGTCTGGATGTCGTATGTTGCATATCTGTCTGTTGCATGAATTTCAGGAAGTTTCTGCCCTGGGTGAGGCTTTGCATTCCTTCCGTGGAGTGTTGCCCCATGTAAGATGACTACAAATCCGCTGTTAATGTCTGCTGGAATCTGTCGTGTATTTGTTGATTTTCATCACTCTTGAAAGAAGCGTGTTTAGAAACTCTGCTTTGAACGTTTCCTTCAGAACATGATTTAGTTACGTCTTTCTTTCCATAACATGTAATAGATCTATAAGATGCATCAAGAACAATTTCAGCACAGATGTGAAATTGGAAGTGATTTTTTCCTGACTCTGGTCAGTGGAGTGCGATACCAGGTTGGCTGTTCTGTTGCAGTTTCTTTCCTTTTAACAACCAACACTAACGCTAGCTCTCTCGTCCATGTGATCACTTTCATCTCCACACTACAGTCCCTCCTGAAGACCCAAGGTGTGAATTTGACTGATGACTACCGGGCAATGTTTTTCAAGGACATAAGATCTTAACATCCCCAGGCTCAAATGCAACGTGGTGTTTTCCTGGGTTGCAGGAGCTTCTGAAGGTTGCTCTGGATCATGGACCAGTCCTGGGAGTGCTTCTGGGATAGCCAGATGAGAACTTGCTCAAAGCATACTGTCTTCATTTTTATCGTGCCTGCCTTTGCTTAGTGCTTAGGGATGTTTGGCGTACTTGCGTGTGTCTCTGAACTGCAGGTATTCCCATGGGAATTCGGAGATCTTTACTGCCTTTTGCGGTGTGGGAGCAGTAGAAAGAGCGGACTCTGTGAAGCAGGTGCTGATCTCCCCGGCCTTAGTCTTTCTGAGATCTGTGTTGCCTAGACTTCTCTGGTGAAGAATGTGAGCTGGGCTCTCCAGTAGGTCTGGGTTATAGTTACAGACAAGGAAATGGGTTTTGTTGTTCCGTGTTAGGTAAATCTCATGGGCTGCAGGAATTTGATTACCCAAGGAGGGAGGACTAGCAAAATCCCGGGAGTGCTGGGTATTTATAGAGCAGATGTTTCTGCATGAGGTGCTCATAAAGGTACATTTTCTGATATGTTGGTTACAACATTAAAACTGCAAAGTTTGATGTCTGGATAACTTATTCGTAGCATTAATTAGCTATTAATTTGATGCTGCGAAGTTTTCATGCCTATTTATATGTGATAAATGTGGGAATTTTTTCTCGAGGCATTAATTTTCAGTAAATTTTTCTACAGTTGAAGATACAGCAAGTAATATCAGCAAGCCACAGTCTTAGTGATGCACTTTTAGAGTATCTTTTTCAACTATAACATTATCAATGTCTACCTTAATATTAATACAGATCAAGAAATAAGAAAGTCGGATACAAAATACTGTGATGCTGTTGATGACCAATGGAGTAAAACAAATGTGCTACAAGTGTGGTAGCACAAATGGACCATAGAAAAATATCTCGTGAATGGGCCATGGGGCTAGAAAGATGCAAAGGATTTTATTTTTTTTTTGCAAAATTTGATTTTTTTTTTTGAAGTCTGCAGGTGTTCCTTATGTGTTTTAGCGCTCTATTTCTAAGATTTAATGAGGAAGTAACAAATGTGATTCACAGCTCCAGATAAGACCATTTTTAGTCCATTTCTCTCACCCTCAAGCTTAATAAGTAATGTTCCACTTTAATAGATGTGCTTGGACATGGAGCTGCTATCGTTTATTGTTACAACTCCTGAAAGGTATCACAGAGAATTTGAATTCTAATTTCGGTTTCATAAAGACTTTACATTAAAATTCACATTTGGGCTTTTGATACAAAAGGATTAATACAACTGGAGATGGAAAAGCAGCAGTAGAATTCTCTCTTCCATATATCCTGTGGAATCATATTTTAATATCCACTTTACCTGCCTTGTATCAGCCATTGCTAGAGGTGAGGCTGTGTTAGGATTTGGGGAAGGGATTCATTTATCTGTGTCTTTCACTTGTGTTTTTAATTGAAAGTTAATGTGCTGTTACAGAACCAAGCTACACAATTAAGTGTCTTCAAATTTGGAGAGGTCTCTGAAAAAACGTGGGTTTTTTTCATAGTCATCCAATTAACATACCAGCCAGGGGGAAACGGGGGACGGGACGGACCGTGATTGATTGGTTAATTACTTGGAGATTGGCAGTCCCTCTAGTTAGTTAAAAAGAAAAATTGGCTGCACAGTCTTGATAGCAGAAGGTCATGGTTGTGTCCTGAGCTTTTGAGAGTTAACTTTACTCTCAGGTTTGTGGAATTCAGAGACCCTGAAAACTGAAGGGTTGGCTGTGGTGTTGTCAAAAGTAGTGCGTTTCAGCTTTGAGAAAACTTTCCACATAGGTTTTGTCACTTCTGTGACTCCTGTCCAGTTTAAGGTATGTCACAGGACTCACCAGCAGCTCAGAAAAATGTGTTCATAGGCACCTCTGTGACTGTACCCCTTTTTGTTCAGATTCAGGGAGTTGCAGATGTGCATCACCCATATTTTACTGAGATTTAATAGGTTTGTCAGACTGCCTCCAAATTGTTCACCCAAGGTAATGAGTTCTTCATAATTGTAGTATAAATCGACACACCCCCAATTTTCGTGTGAAGGTTAGAGGGCTAAATTTTCATTTAAATCTCTCCTGTTAGGAATGTAAGTTCAGATGGAGCAGAAGCACGCAGAAGACTAAGAGAGTGTGATGGCTTGGTGGATGCCCTCCTTCATGCTCTACAGTCTGCAGTTGGCAAGAAGGATACAGACAATAAGGTGAACTTGAGTATTAAAACTTCAAGGATATTTCTATTAGTTTAGGCTGAAGCGTTGCCCTGGGGTCTGATTTCTGTTTGCTAGTATCAGAAGGGGATTACGGTTGCCTCAAAATATGTTGTCTTCCTCTCATCTCTGTCATGATATCCATGATACTACTGATGGGGTATCAGCATGATGCTGCTGTATTACCTTGTGTGGCTGATGATGTGAGCAAAGGCAAGTGGTTGTGATAGGTGGCGAGAATAGTCCTTTATTATTATCAGTGACATTATTGCTGTTGTTCTGCATTACTTAATTGACATTTCTAAGTGCAGTCTCCAAATCAGAATTGAGTCCCATTTTATTGTGCTTTGCACAGTACCAGTAAAGGAGTCAATTCCCATTTTAAAGACTTTATTCGGCGCCATCTCTAAAGACTGGAGTGTTTAGATATATCTTCAGACCTGCAGCACTTTCATTGTGGCTTTTTATTTTTAGGTTCAGATTTTGGTTAATCTGTTTTTATCATAGTCTGATCTTGTGGTGCTTAAAAGCTTATTTAAATGCATATGGAATATCATAAATTTAACCTGCTTGAAAAAGAAAGAGCATACTATTAAAAGAAGGAGCATACTGTTGCTTTATAACACTAATAAGGCTTGTAAAGCATCATTATTTTATTCTTTTTGAGTCCCACCATGTGATGGACTGTACAAGGGCATTATAAAGCCCTGTCACTTAATCAGACGATTTTGGAAGTAGATTTTGTAACCACCTGGTGGTTCCATTGCAACCCACAGAGCATTGCTCTTGTCAGAACCTGATGTGCTACGGATTAGCTATTACTACAGGACAACGTGTGTTCTCTTGAAATCCTCGCATGGCCTAGGTTTCACCCAGAGAAAGTTTAATAAAATGGGCCCCTGGGGGATTGCAAAGGTTGGAAGAATAGAGAGAGGCTTGTATTAAAATAAGATCCTTATATGATCGTTTTCCACTGTGTGTTAGATCTTTCAGTGAATTGTATTCTTTATGTAAGATCAGGTGGTATTTTTTGATTAGAGGGTTTTCATTTTGAATGGGTACTATTTATGAAGCGCTTCACTTTTGGAAGAATAAAATTGGCTTTAGAACAAGAACGAACCTTAATTTAAGGGGTCTTGACTAAGTCTTCCTTGAAAGCTGTATTTTCTTCCTGGGGGCAGGTGGGCTTTTTTTTGAATTCCCCCAAACACTCCACTGTATAATTTAATAGTTTGCAAATAAGAGAGTGCAATACTACTTATAACATAAATTTCTCTGTAACAGTCTGTGGAGAACTGTGTGTGCATCATGCGGAACCTTTCCTATCATGTCCACAAAGAGGTCCCCGGAGCTGATAAGTACCAAGAACTAGATGCCAGTCAGACTACAAGCACAGGAAGCTCTCAGAAGAAGAAGAAAGACGATGCTGGTTGTTTTGGTGGAAAAAAGGCTAAAGGTATGTGTTGCAGAGAGCTCAGAACTAGAAATGGATTTGGGGGTAAATTTTGCTGTGTAGGCTGCTCTTGCAAGCATATTCGTCATGCAAGAAGATGCAGTTTGTGGAGGTACGTGTTTGTAGTGTCACGGCATGTGTTCATCTCCCTTGTTGCATTACTACTAGGTATTGGGGATTTTTTTTCCACAATTCCTATAGTTTCGTTTGGCTTTCAATAGGAGCAGTGCATGCTGACAGGCGACATTCTGCTGTTGGACAAAGATGGATGTGCTCTGCCTCTCTCCTTTCAATTTCTGTGTTCTTGGCATCTGTCAAATCCATTCTTAGTCCACTTGCTTGGCTGTATAGCATGTGTCACGGCCTCTGGAAGCCAGGCCAGCATGTGTTCATCCCCATGCATGGTCTGTACGTTCCTGTCTGTACATCTTCCATGCCTCCAGTCTGTTACAGTTGAAAATAAACAAGAAGCCTATCCTCCCACTCACAACCAAAACCTACAACCTCCCAATTCTGTCACTCTTTCAGTAATTTAAATTGCAAACATGATTTTGTAGCTTTTAATTGTCAGTCACTTTTAGACCTGTTCTCTCCTCTGGGGCATGAGTGTTGCAAATGAGTTTCGTTACAAGAGAGGATTAATAGTCTCAGTAACCCCACTTCCATCTTTCGTTTAGAAAAAGACACTCAAATTATATCAGTTTTCTTTGTTGTTTTAGAGAAATGACTATTCTAGACTGAATTCAGAGATAATTAACTCCATTTTCTGTCTAGTTTCCCTTCTCCTCATTCATGTATACGCACATTCTGGCTTACTATTTTTAGCCACGTCTAGGAAGGGTTTTGGCCCTGAAGAGCTGATGCGGAATTGTTTGAACTTGATGGACTGTGCTGCATGTTACTCTTCCTTTGATCTGACCTGTATGTGGTATTAAAATGTCATGTGTTTCCATATGTGTTAGGGAAGTCATCACAGTGTGAACTTGCTTTTGCAGGCTAGTCTGTCATCAACTGGATTTAAACTGTGTTTAAAATAAATAGAAAAAAAATTATGAGAATCTTTTAATGACTGGGGGAAGAACTGAAGAAAGAATTTTACCTGCCTGACCAGCCTGTTCTCACAGTGAATGACTAAAACTTCAGTGTGATATCCTTTGGAAACCCTGAATGTGTGCTGACTCGAGCCTGCTCCCTGCCACTCGCAGTCCCTGTTGTTCTGCTGCGTGAGAGCAACAGTCAGTGAAAGCATTTGTAGACGTGAAAGCTATGAGTGTGTGCTGTGGGAGGAGAGGAGTGTGCTGATTGAGAACTGTCATCATCCCCTTGATGACAGTGAAAAGAGAGCGCTCTCAGGTGGCTGTGCTTCGCCAAGTATCTGCCTGTTTCCTCTGGGGCTAACCTATATATACCTTCTGTGTCTGTACACCCTGATAGTTTCTGTTTATCAGCATCTGATCGTGTCTCTTTCAACAAACTGGTCTTGAAATCATCTGACACTGAGGATGAACCTGCAGATTTCAGTGAGCAGTGCAGGCACATAGTGACAGCTTGGGTTTGGTCTGTGTGTACAGCAGGAAATGACAATTTCCAAAGTGTATTTTAACATTTTTTTCCTCCTTTTTGCAGTGCTCTTTTTAAAGTGTGCTGTTCTCTAGAGGGAAATCAACTGGTAATAATGCTGAGCTCACAGCTGGTATTATGTAGAGTAGAAGGATAGAGGGGGACAGGCAACTGTTGTGTTTAAAAAAATAAAAAAATCAAATCCATTAATAAATGTGCTTCTAAAATCATAGAAGCTTCTTTTTCTCACCATTAAATTTATGTGAATGCTTGGTCTGAACCTGCCTTAAAGTCTAGGACTTAAAATAGATCAAATATTTCCTCCTCTTGTTCACTTAATTTTGCAGTGTTTCCATGTTTAGTTTATTTTATTTTATTTCATGGTCATTGATCATAGCATTTCAAACACCTCTGCGAAGGGCTAGTCATCCTTCTGTCTCCTCAATTCTGTGAGCATCTTTTCATCTAATGAAAAGAGGAAGAAAAAAAAAAGCTGTGAAGAGAAAGATTGTTTTTTTTTTTTCCAGCAGGAACAAAAAGGAGAAAGTGGAATATCTTCATTTGGTTTTTCAATTGATGAAAGTTCTGTAGTATTCTTGTAATACACAGGTTTTGAACCTATTCTGTGAAATTCTGCCTCTTTGTGACTGTTCCTTTGTATTTTCTTCCTTCCTGTAAATTTTTGTTTTTCTTTTGCTGCTTTTCTGGTAATTAGAGGAGTGGTTCAATCAAGGTGAGTCTTTGCAATACTTTCTTTTCATCGTCGCCATAGTATGCTTTGTTCAGCATTTACATGCAAGGCTAAGAGCTGAGATCAAGGTCTTGCTCATTCACCTTCTCCTCTGCTCCCCCAGTGCATCCTCCTGTTCATTTCAGTAGGCATGGAAATCCTCTAATTGAGTGAGCATTGTCAGTTTGATCTCCTCACACTGGGAATGGAAAAGACAAGGTGTTATTCATTCCTGGTGTAAGTGCAGTAAGGGAACTGATTTGCAGCTGGCCTGATAACCGTGTGAGAGAGGGAACACCTAAGTGTGCAAGCTGCCTCACCACCCTTGTCGTATCAAAGTACAGCTTTGCTAGCTGGTCTGGGGACCAGTAGCCATGAAGACTCAGCAGCTTGGATGTGTATTCTTGGGGATCCTTGGTATGTTGTCTGCTTGGGCACGGTAGCCTGGGCTGCTGCATCTTGTTACTGGCACTCAGACTAGCTAGATGAAGTTACTGGCGCTCAGACTAGCTAGTAGGGGATATGCCCTTTAGTTTTTCATCCCAGCACAATAAGTAAAATTGCAATTGGAATACACAAGGCTGAGGCTAAAGTTTGCCTCCCTCACCTTTTGCTTCTCAGCTGGGAAGTTGTTAGGCTGTGGATGCCCTGTTGACTTTCACTGTGTTACTGAGACTGATTCAGGGGTAAAGGCAGGGTCACTTTCAGTTTGTGATGCTTGCTTCAGACCAATGGGTTCCAGAGGGTTGAGCCAAAGGAGAAATGGGGGAGGTGGGGACAAAATCAAATTGCTTCACCCAACAAATGGTGCTCAGTCCTGTTCTGCGAGACACTGATTCAGACTGTGACTGGTGAGCCTGTGGAGGATGGGCACGTTGGCAAGACAGAGCTCAGCCCTTGCTTTCTGTCGCTCTGCTGCTGTCCGGTTCAGTGGACACATTAACAAGCACAGTATTGACTGTTAGGGGGGGCAAGAGGGGGGTTGTTACTAAGAATCTCTTTCCAAATCTTTCCCTTCAACTTTTTTTTTTTTTAACCAGAAAGAAAGTGTTTGGGAATTAATCCTTCAGCAGAAATGGTCTAGCAGAGTAGCTGTTTTGATTATCCAGTAAAGCAAAATGACATTTCAGGAAGATCAACAACAACATTAGTGGTTAATAACACTGGGTCACACTTCAAAGTTCATACTGAGTTTCTGACAGATTGAAAATGCCGAAGGTCATGGTTTGGTTGTTTCTTACATAATGAAAAGTAGTGAGGCGGGGGGGGAGAGGGAAAGAATTTTAATCCCGCTGTTTCAGAGACTGTAAATTGCATCTCGCACAAGCAAGTCTCATGTCAGGCAGTTTTCCCAAACCAGAATGCTGTGCCAATTCCTACAGCCAGGTCTCATAAAAGAGACCTGTCAGCTGGCATGTTCAAAGCTGTCTGTCTCTTGGCAAAGTTGGGAGCTATGCTTGTGATCCAACAGCATCTTTTCTCTGGCATACCTCAGGCTGGAAAACTTGGAAATGCATAGAAGGGCAGAAATTTAAATATACAAAACCAGGATTTTAAACTTCTTCTCTACTCCTAGTGTGGTCATTTCAGCATCCCTGTGCACTAGCATTACTGACAGGCTTGAGTGACAGAGGGGGCTGTTCAGAGCTACAGAAGCTGGCAGCGAAGCTGGTTTTCTCATGGTATCAGTCAGCCCAGAGGATGGCTGTTTGTCATGGGTAGGATCTTGAACTTGCTAAATTTGGTCACGTTTTTAGAATCTCCAAACCAATATTTGTGGGTCCTGTGAAAATCAGATGAGAAAAATACCAGCTGGGCCACAGATTGAAACCTTTGCCTTCTAGATGGTTTTCTTTTCAAGTCTTGTTACAGCTTGGTCACCTTCTCTCTATAGGAAAGCCCTGGAAAATGTAGGTGCTTCGGATATTTCTGAACTTGGCCCTTGATCAGTTTGATTAAGGAAATAATTTCTAAAGTTGAAATCCCCTTGGTCAGGGCTCTGTGTTCCGAATTGCTTCCATTTGTAAACAGCTGGCACTTCTGGCTTGAACAGACTTGATTTTGCGCGTGAGGTCAGTTAGTTTCTCAGAGGGCTGAGAGGCAAACTAGCAAAGGCTTCATAAAAGATGACTGATATTTGCAGTCTGGCCCAGAAACTGGGGGACAGTGACTGAAAAACACAGAGCACAGGTAAGTGTGCTGTCTTGGTGAAGGATGGTTTAGCAAATAGGCAGCTGCTTGGGCGTTGCTAGCTCAAAAGATGTAGCAGCCAACACTGCTCTCCTGGACAATCTCTTCCTTAAAAAATAGTGGACAAATACATACTGCGTACTAAGCGTTGCGCTAGAAAGAAGGGAACTCTACTGTGCTATCTCAGTTCTGCAGGGCTGATAGAAGGACCAAGCCCCAACCTTTAAATTATAGAGAGACCTTCTGAAATGAGTAGTTGTGCTGAATAAGGTCTGGCTCTTCCAAGTAAATGTTCTGAGGTTTAAACTAGCTAGTGCAAGAGACATGAAATTCGGGGTCATGTGAAAAAACAGTTTGTCCTACTTGTAGATAGGATGGAGTCACATTTTTTTGGTCTGTCTTAAGTCTGTAATCTTACCTAAACACTGACTTCCTTCCTTCAATGCTCCCCCCCACCCACCCCCTGCCCTGCTTTTTACTGTCAGTGCTCTAAGGGTCAACAAGGGTTTGCAGCCAGTAACTGGGTTCAGCTGCCGTTATGAAATAGTGTCCTTTGGTGATAAACAGCATTTTTTCTTTCTGGTATTTGGTTCCCTCAAGCAGCATGTTTCTCATTCTTTCATGGAGTGAAAACTTGATGGAAGGCTGCAAAGTGCAGCCAGTTCCTGTCCCTTCCTTTAGGAAAGATACCTTTCAAAGGAGTGGTATGGGACCTGGCTGCATGACCTTTTAGCAGCTTAGATGAGCTTTTTCATACTTTAAGCTAATAACTTCAAATGAGCAGAACTTATAGATGCATGTTTTGTTTGGCACAGTAGTTGACTGATACTCTGTGTTGGCGTTTCAAAACAAAAGTGTGTGGTATTTCCAAAAGGAGGGAGGGGGTGGAATACTACCTTGAGTTTGGGGAGGCTTTTTTTCCTCTTGATGTTATTTTTAAATATTCATATTGGGTTTGAAAAGCTTCATTTCTTCTCTGTATAGTACTGCATATGTTTGTCCTTTTGTCAAGAGGAAAGGTAGAGCGGCCCATTGAATTCACTGTGCAGAAGCTGTACCAGCTCCCTGCTATAACAGGGCAGGAATTGGCCTTTCCCATTTTGTGACCTGTTCCCAGTCAAGAGTCAGGCTAATCTCCATGTTATATTTTCCAGTTCGCTTTTAAGCACCCTGACTGGTGGAGCTTTCAGCCTTTCCTGTAAAGCTCCATTAACAGCCTGGTAGAGTCCCTGTTCAGAAGCCACCTCTAACAACTTAGTGTGTTGTTCTGAATTTATCCCATCGCACCTGCCTCCCGTGCTCTTGAGGGAGAGGGATTAAATAACTTCGGTTTTTCCCCTCAAACTAGTTTGGGAAAGCTAAACTGTACACTGCTGTCCTCAGAAGCCATGCAGATTCCTGCACTTCCTTCCAAGTCTCTCTCTCTGCTGTCAGTACTTCTCTGATGGCAAGTGTCCTGCTTATCCCCCAGCTCCATGCGGGCTTACCCAAGGCAGTGGCTCCTGAGAGGGAGAAGAGGGGATGAAAATTAACCCTTCTCTCCCCAGCTGTTGACATAACCTTGAATTGCTGACCTAACTAAAACTGAAGTCCGGGTTTTGTTCTGCTTTCTATGAAGGATTGTATAAATTAAAGATATGGTGATGATTTGAAACTGTCTCTTAGCAAAAGTATGGAATTATTTCTATTAGTTTCTGATAAATAGTCAAAATGACACTTTATTGATTGAAGGGCAATTCAAGGTGAAGTTGTTGGCTGCTGTCTGTACGATATATTAAGTCTAGGCCTTCCTGCCTGATAAGCACAATGAGAACAGAGGCTGCAAAGCAAGCCTGTTGGTTTTTTTGCTCTGCTGCTCAGTTTCTGCTTCAGCTGGGCTTCAGGTCAAAATTCGTCCCTGAAAATAAGCAGTAAATACTGGGCTTCTGAGGGAGGGCATAGCTTTGCCAAGAAGGGAAATGGCAGAATTTTCCCAAGATTTTAAGCACTCTTAAGACCCACTGAAATGCCAGTGCTAAGCATGTTTGCGGATCAACCTGGAAGTAGCATGGATTTTTGTCCCTAAGTTACTCATGCTAAAACCACAGCTATGCAGCTGGATTGCAAGTCAGATATATAGAAGTATGGGTAATGGTCTGTGATTTATATTCTGAGTCTATATCTTCTATCATCTTGTAGATGCACATGACAGAAACTTACCTGTCAGTATGCTGACAGCCTTTTCCATCTGTTGTTTTATTTTTTTGCACAGGAAAGAAGAATGGAGATTTGGACAGGAATTTTGATACGCTTGATTTGCCTAAGCGGACTGAAGCAGCAAAAGGTAATGCTAATGTTTGTGCTTTTGGAAATAACAAGTAATCTGGGAGCTGGAGGCTCTTAAAGGGACTCGAGACGTGAGCATATCAGGCTGATCTCTTTCTTTTGTATTCAGTTAATTGAAATAATAGATGTGTCAGCGCTTGTTGTTATCTAGTATTAATACTGGATATAACCAGCTTTTATATAAACCTACTGAATTGATGGAATCTTGTAGAAGCCCATCTGATTTGGTGTTAGGTGATTGAAACTCCATAGAGGGGTGAGTGCATGCTTTCTTCCTTTATGATTCAATTCACAAATCATCTGCACTAGATGTGAATGTAAGGAGTTAGGAAATGCATTAGGTGAGTGTACTTAGCACTAACCTTTTCCATTTCCTGGCATCTCTGTAGTTCTTCGGTGTTCTGATGAATTGGAGGGTCATAGCAGGGAATGGGTTCAATTTCTTTGTCTTTATTGATAGCCGGTTTTCTCCTGCATACAGTATTCCTCCCCACCTGTAGTGAGTAGTATTTGTGTGGTTTTCAGAAAAATTGTTCTGCGTTGTGCTTTTTTATTTTAGCTGTGGCAGAGGTGAAACCTTTTACAAACAAACTGCATTCCCTTCCTGCGTGTGTGGTACTCTTTTTAATTGAAGATTGGGAGATGATTTTGGATCTCATCAGGCTTCTTACAGCATTGCACAGGTTTTCACTTGAAGCGTGTGCAATGCCATTGCAAAGATTCAGCTGCTGTCATGGCAACTGCTGTGGTGCCACCCTGTCAACCTAGCCTTGCAGGAAAAGCCCTGCCATAGCATCCTCACCTTACCTGTGAATACCCAGAACTACCTGAGTATTCTTTGGAAGGAAAATCTTAAATTCTTCCTGCATCAATTGTAGAGTTTTGGAGAGTATGAAGAGACAGTGTGACTCAGTGGAGATCCATGGACTTGGGATACCTGAATTATGCTACTTTAGTGACCTTGATCAAATCAGCTAATTTATGCTTCAGTTTCCTTACTGTTAACTGAGGGCAGCAAGAGAGGCCATATCTAACGTCCTTGGAGATGGACTGATGGTCAGTAATGGTATAATCATTATACACATAAAGTGCTGCACCCTCACTTAATTCGTGGGCAGTGGAGCTCTGATTGATGATATGCAAACTAAGCCTAATATATAGATGCATCTGATCTCTTTACAGACCCCCTTTACAATGGATACAATTTCTAGGCTAATGTCTAAACGCTACTTTTCATTTGGTGCATTATTGCACAAGATACTAATGCACCTCTTTGAAGGTGCAATGCCATCCTATTTGGAGAGCTGCAGGAAACTTCTCCTAACCAACCTTCACTTCAATGTCGTCAGTTCGGGATTGGGCATTGATTACATTGCAGAGCAAGGAGACATCTTAAGGATGCAAAAGAAGAAAGCAATGTAAAATATAGCAAGAGCTTCAGCACTTTCATTCCTTTCTAAATGTGATTGGGACTGAAGGGGAAAGATGGAAATCAAGGCTTTCTGCAAAGAAATGGATCTTGCATAGCTTTCTTCAAAATAAGATAAAAATCTTTCTTGTGGATCTGTTAAAGGTAGCAGTGTTGTGGCGTATCTGATGAGACATATCTGTCTCCGTGAGCTCACACAGCTCATTATGATCTTCAATAGCTAGGAATCACACTCTTCAAGAGGTTTTGTTTGATAATGTCGAAGTACCGCCATTTAATCCAAACCAAATAGATTTTAGTCTGACTGTGTATCTCATGCTAGATTAGGTCAGGAGATTAATCCCACAGCATTTTGAAAGAAGACTTTTGTTGTGGAAAAAGGCCTGAGAAACTTTCACTTGTGTGCCAAGAGTAAAAAGTAAATTCAGTGATGCATTTTTGTTCACTTTTTTACTAGTAGTTTCCTGCTAAGCATCTAGTTTACATGAGCGTTCCTAGATATGAAAAGTTCTAACAATACTGCTAGGGCTTTGAATTGTTCGGTAAGATAACAAAACAAAATTGCAGTTTTAAAACCCGTAAAAGCTCCGGTCAGATCTGTGCCATAGACTATAATTGGCTCTGATGAGATCAGCTCTCAGCTGAAGCTGAACCTTGTAACTAAGATTAAAAAATCCTGCAAGTTTTAATGATCAAAAGCACTCAGTTTGAGTGACACAATGAAGTGCTATTTCAAAAATCAACAATTATAGATTCATCTCTTTCATGTATTATTAAAGCCATATTAAAGAGAGTTTTCAGCTGGAGTCCTTGTCGGCAAATGAAACTGCAGTAATAAGATTTGTTCGTGCGATGCAGCAAATTAACATTGTGGTAGTTAACAAATACTGGGATGCAGTGTTGTTAAGTTTCCTGTAATCTTATAGTCAACATCCATGGTGCTTATCTCATGGATCTAAAGATAAGGTTTCAAGAACTTGACAATATGATTTCCCTATAAAATATTCTTAGGTATGATCGCTGAGCTTAATTGATAGTGTGCTTATGATCGCTTGAAAAACTGCAAACAAGCAGCAGTGAACTAGTTCAGACCTATTTTCTATGATACCTGGAAACTTCGTTTGGTCTCCAAATTACTTTAATTGCAGGAATCTCTGCCGGTCCTGTAGCTGAACATCGTAAACCCAGAAGCTTCTGTAGTTTCTCGTTGAGGGGATGGGGGTGGGTTAGTGTCTGCGCAGGAGGCAGCGGTTTTCTCAGTCTTTGTTCCGGACAGCTTAGGAACACATTCGCATCCTGAAGAGTCCAGAGGGTCTTGTGAGTTATTACCTAGTTTAAATGCTAGTTTTTCATTGTTTTTTTTTCCTGGGACTTGTTTGTTCTGGAGAGGAAGGAATGAATGACGGCAATTCTTTTTTTTTTTTTTTTTTTTTTTCTTCAAAGTGATGAACTAGAGTCTCCTCTTCTTCTGATTGCTCTTGGGTTTTTAATGGAAATCAGATTTTGCTGCAGCACACCATTTGAGCAGCCCTGAAACCATTTCTAAGCCTTTAATAATTTTATGTGCTAGGCATTCTGGCAGGGGAAAGCTTCCAGTTCAGGGTTGTTATCTGTGGTAAACTGGATAATGTCAGACGGGAGAACTTGCAGTGCTTTCAGAAGCTGTCTCATCTGATATTAAAGAATAAATATGTATGCTCTGGCAGTGTCCAGAGTTCTGCTGTCCTCGTGACGAAAGATTGTGGAAGAGAAGCTTCTTGTTTCCTCTTTGTTGAAAGGAGCGTATTTTTTTCTGACAGTCAGAGAGAGAGAGATGATAAATTTTGGGGGGAGGTGATAAGAGCTTATATAGAGCCATATGAGAAGGGGACAGCACTGACAAGAAATTATGAATGCTGTCCTCAGGACCTTGCTAAATTTAGTACTTTCAAAAATTGCTGCTTCTGTGAGGGTGGGAAAAAAAAAAAGGTCTTCCTGAAATCCCTTCCCCAGTATAAAGTAGGTCACTGGTAGTGGTGTTGGCTGTCTCCTCTGCAGTGTGTTCTCTTCCACACTGCAAATGCTGATTTCTCCTGTGTGCACATTAAACACACAGCATAGCACAGTTCCTTTGCTTTGTTCGCACAGTCCTTATTTCTGAGGAGGAATAGCGACAGGAGGCTCATGCGCTGGGGGGAGATCAGGATTAATCATATCTGTGCAGTGGAAGGCAGTGTCTCAGATGGCAGACTGTACGATGAGGTTTTCTGAAAAGAATCAGCATTGATATGTGTCAGCCTTCTGAAGATGTTATAAAGGTTGTAACATTTAATCCTCCTGATGTGAAGGTGTTGGATTGTCCGCCTCTGTTCATCAGTGCTGGAACATGGGGGGAGAAAGTCCAGAAGAGCAAAATAGCTTTCTATATGGAATCAGCAGGTTGTTCCTAATTAAATCCAGGCTTCTGTGCTGTTGGTTTGAGCAAATCTCATGGCTTGTTGTTTGTGCACATATACATCTAATGACACAAAAGTAGATGCTCTAAGGTGCTTTGGGTGTTGAACTTCAGCTATGATTTCAGTTTATCTCGTTAAGGAGTTGAAAGCTTTCAGCCATAAGGAGACATGTGCAGGTTCATTTCAGCCTGGTGGATGAGCGAATTCATTCTCTCCTTTAAATCAGTTATTAAAGTGGTTACTAATTTATATTTCCCATTTTTATTATCTAAGCTTTCATTTTAATGGGAATGTAAGTTTAGGAGAGAGTCAAGCAGAAACACTGAACTAGTGTTAAAGCTGCTTATAGTTGAACAAGTCTATTTTATTACAGCAGGGACCTCACAGAAAAGCTGAATTTATTTGAAAGCTCAGCTTTGTGTATATACTTACCCTGGTCAGCAGCCTCTGTAGGTAGGGAATGAGATTTTGGGTGAACTTGTCAGCAGGTGAATTTCTTCTTTCTCCATTATCTGAAATCCTCAGTCACTTTCCGTGCAGCCTGATGCTGATGATAGATTTTCTATTCCAGAAGGTGAATGTTTAAATTCACATATAAATCTTTATGTTACTGCTCCAGGAAATTAGACTTCCTGGCACTGTCAGGGTAATGACTTTAACTTAGTAGATTACAAAAATGTTGGCAATTTGTCTTCAGCTAAAGGCAACATGTAGTGGGGGGAGAGAGAAACTTCACTGAAGCTTTACTTTGACTTTAGGTTTGTAATTAAGATTAGCTGCTGTTCTCATTTCACTGTTGTTTTCATTTGTTTTCTTTAAATCTTTACAAGTTGACTCAAGCACTCACCTGCCCTTTCCAGCTCCCTTCAATCATTAATTTTGATTGTCATATTGTGAATAAGTGAGAGAACTGGTTGATTAATGGAACCATCCCCACCCCTCCTGTGCTGCTAGGGGAAGTTGAGGGACTGGGAGGATCTCCCGTGTGAGAGCAAGTAACATGTTCTTAAGTATTTCATGCACATTGTTGAGAATTCCTACCAGAGTTATTAAGTATCTCTTATTTCTGTTGCTTTACTAAGCAGAGTGTTCATTTTGGTCCCATGTGTTTCTCAATTTACAAAGCAGTGGAAG